CGATCGAATTGACATTGGATGGGTCATGTGATATGCTTGGTCAGCACACGGACTGTTCTTCCCGACTGTGTGCGCTAATAAACATAGACAAAGGAATTGCAATTCACAACTTAAGAGTTCAAGATGCCACCAAAGAAAGGAAAGAAGGGAAAGAAAGGCGGAGATAAGTCATCAAAAGGGGAATATCAGTTAAAGGATGAGGAGAGCAGACGGAGATATTTGCAGGATATCAAGGATAAAGCAAAGGTAGTTTATTCGAGTCGTTTGGTAAGACGCAGGACAAAGAAAGCTTAAAGATATATTTTATTTACTCTAGGAGAGACAAGGTCTGGAGGAGAAGAATGCCCACCTTAATAACCTCAAGATCCAAAATAGATGGAGGGAAATAATGAAAGCAGGTACGCTAAGTGCTGCTTGCATCCTCTGGAAGAGTGTACAGTGAATGGCCATTATTTCATATGAGCGCAGCAAAGGCTAGGGATCTTGCACAGCAGATCGAAGTTCTGAAACAGATTCATGAGCGACACCTCGACAGGAAGAACGCTTCAATTGAGACCCTCGCGAAGGATGTTGCAGAGGCTGAAGACCAGTTTGCAACAGCTCTGCAAGCACACTGTATAAACGTTGATACCCTTATCGAATTGCAGTCGGCGAGACTGCAAACCTTGCAGAGTCAGTTTGAGAATGACTTGGGAATACTTGAAACCGAATTCAATGCAGAGAGGTATATTATATTGACGTGTATCCAGAATGACTATGAACAGCGAGCTTACCTCGAGCCAGAATGAAATTGCAGACAGGACATGTGAAGGAAAAAGCAGATATTCTGGGAATCATGACAAGAATGGAACAAGAATTTCAAGACACCGAAGCGGATGCCAAGCACGAGTACTCTAGTATGAGAGATGATGTGAAGAACAAGGTTTCTTTCGCACAAACAGTTTCATTAGTCTACACCATGAACGACTTACAAGACTATTGGCTTGACCGTAGAATTTAGAGGAAAAACATGCGCTACGTATCCAGCTTGAAGGCACCGTCGAAGACTTGTGGCGACAGTTTCAGGCAGTAAGTTTTCTCTAATCTCCCAGATCACACTGGCGCAACCTAATAGTAGTATCAATTTGTGTAGGCGCTGAACCAATACAACACGTCCACCGAAGAAAGGAAGAAGCAGTTTGAGGATTTGAAACAGAAGGATCAAAAAAACGCCAAGGAGATTGAGCAGCAGATGCGAAAGCTTGTTAAGCTGCAGGTTGACTTAAGCTTGAATTGTACGCACTATGCAGCAATACAAATTGTCATACGTCTTTTTGATACAGGAGACCATTGTCCATCTTAAAACGAAGCTAACAAACAACTCGAAAGAGTATGAAGAACGAAATCGGGCTCTCCGTGAAGAGAAGGAGGCAATTCAGTCACATTTTCAATCTTTGAAGCGCAAAATGAATTCCTTCCGGGAGGAAGAGCGCCGGAAGCTGACGGAGTTGACTATTGTCAGCAACCGAGTGATTAAAGACTTGGAAAGCAAAATTGAGAGAGCTGAAAAAATCATTAGGCTGGCGGAGATGAATAGGAAGCTGGAAACGGAAGAAGAAAAGGTTCAGCCCTTCTATCGAGAAACCTGGAAAGAAGGAGTACAGTTACAAGGGATCGCCGAAGTATGTGTCCAGGTTCATTTTGACTTCTTCTCATGAAAGCATTTGCTGAAAGATTAAGCTATTTGTAGGAATCAGCGACGGCACTTGAATTCCCGAAAGAGTTTGCAGCAATGGAGCAGTTTCATAAACGGTATAACAAAGTTAGTCTGGATCGTCTTGCCCTGGAGAAGCAAAGAGGACAGTTGCAAGAGGAAAACGAACACCTCCGCAATATTCTCAAGCAATACCTCGACGGTATCAGCGTAAATGAAACGGTGCTCGATCACGCTAATCCACTGGTCGTGGTCAATGGTACGATTGGACTCTACAAATGCAAGAACACTGTGATCCAAATTGACGGTCATTCGTGGGTTTTTAGGACGAACCAATGCTGCCCTATCGCATCCCCACAGCCATCTCAATATTACCTATGTAGAAGCTGCACATCAACGACAGAGACTGGTCCTGTATTGAATAAGACTAGGTATCCCCAAGTGCTCGGCTCGTCGCATGAGTTCAGGTAATTACCACCAAGATATAAATATGTGTATTGGCTCGCAGCGTACGTCCTCTTTGTTGATGTTTGTAGAATACATTAAGGGCAAGTCACCATATAATTCTGATGTCAGTCTATTTGCTGTTTGCGGAATGGGACGTCTCAGTAGTGTTTGTGAAAAACGCTGCCGTGTCTACGAGGCCCCATGGATAGCTGCAGATCATCTTTTGCCAACCGCGGTTCTTAAGCGATATGGTAACAACACGGAAGGCCACATACGACCAATATATTCGATGACAAACAAACACCCTTATTCCTTGATAAATATGTGACTATATATCTTTATGTCTCACTTTTTGTTGCTGACAAAGGTCGCCACCAGCTTTCGATCGTGGCTCGTTGGCTGACCGACCATCTGCGCACACGACTGCAGGGCATCCGAAACATGCTTCAACACAGCCTCACTCTTCCTATTCCGCTTATCAACAATTGTGAAGCGAACCCGATACTTGTCCTCCAGCAGTTGCCGAGCTTTTGTCAACTTAATATTCAGATCGTGTGGCGAGATACTGGATCCGACTTCAAGCTCCTTTGCGGTATTAGATTTTCCGTCTTTTGGTCGTTTGACTCCACGTGCTTCAGCTTTAGCTTTCTTTTGAACTTCGTGAGATACGATACGACAAATCGGTGGGTTTTTGTCTGGGGATATCAGCAGAAGGTCATGAGTACGGCGGTTGAAAAGCGTCAGGGCTTTTTCTAGCGAGTGGGTGCCTAAGCTTTCATTCTCTTCAGAAAGAACTTCGACCGTCGTCTGAGGGATTTTCTCATTCTTGGGCGGTTTTACGAAAGTTGAAGATTTTGGCGTAGCATTTTCGCGAGCAATGATTCGGCAGACTGGGGGATCTGTCCGGTTGTTCACTAGAACTAAATCATGGGTTGTATTGTCATATAATGTGAGCGCTTTTGACAGCGGATGCGCTCCAAGGTTTTCGCTAGCAGCGGATATAACGGTAACGGTTGGGTAGGGGATATCTCGATTCTGGAGAGCTGGTGCGGTTTTAGAGGATGGTTTCGCCAGGAATGCAGGACTAGAAACCGCAAACGGTCGAGATGGAGGGGCTCTTAATTGCACACATAACGTCTGTCTATGTACCGCTGGCCTCAACATGCGGAACCACACGCAGCGGCATGATCTTGCATTCATTTGGATTGGAATTGTGGTCAGTGACAGAGGTAGAAGCTTGTGGCTTAGGATAGTGTATTGGCAGGCGGACGCGTACTGGTGTTTTGGAGTACTGTAGACCAATATTGGCACTTTGCAGAAAGACCTTGGACGAGCGGATTTAGCGTTAAGGAAGGATGGGCCAGCATGGAGTTAGCTCTGGACCAGCTCATTGACGGTTTGCCGACAACGCATGTCTCGTTTGAAACTCTCCGAGACTTTGTCAAGAAGCGAATTGGAACTTTCCAGTATATTATCAAAATGCACGAAGGGAATTCGCACTTCTTGAGCACGGTCATCATCTCCAACGACATGCTCGTTACCATGCACCATGAGGAGAAGGCTAAAGTGAAAAAAAGAGTTACAAAGTGGTTTCATCTGGGTTATAGTATTGGAACTATTCTTGGTATTCCGAGCTCGACGGATTTCGTGCGAGCGTTCAGTCAACTCGTATCCGAGTATGAGAATAGCGATAATGACAGCCGTCGCAACCTGGTACGACTAGAAGAATCTTCTTGAGTCCTTCTTACACTGAAGATCCAAGGTATTCTCACCACTAGAAACGTATCTTTTCGGGGAAAACACCGCGAGGTGGGTCTACTGGCGATCAAACCAGTCAGCCTCCAGATGCTGGTGTGTACACTTATATGGATACCCCACACCTGGTATGGCCAAGAATCTTGATGTACTTATTGTCCGGGCCATGAACTCACATCTTCGCGCGCCCCTGCACATTGGTTAATTCCAGCCGTTTGATATCGATCATGTGCCGACGGTGTTGGGACTGTTCGAGGTTCTCACTCTTGCCTACAGCAAGTTTACCGAAAATAGCGAGGCATGCCGAAATCAAGCATTTATCGATGCAGTTATGAAGATTGATGGGAAAATCAAGGTGCCAAGTAATTGCGTTCGTTTGCACAGGCTGATTTCAATTCCTGACACATGACATCTTTTTTCTTTACCATTGTTAAAGAAAATTATTGGGGTTGTGATGAAAGACTTGGACTTCGTCGCCAAGAATCGTGTAAAGGAGGAATTGGATATGTTGCTTCTGACACCACCGGAACTAATGTAACAGACCGGCTCGGGTGCCCTCCCTATCCCATTTGTTGGGATATGTAAATACCTAAGTTGAGTGCCTATTGGGCGGTCGGAGCGTTCAAGCCATGAAGTCATTGATGTCAATCAAATTGGGACCAAATGAGCACACGCAAATGATGAGTGAGGTCCACCGTTAATTATAAAGGATAAAACGAACAAGACAGACTATACCCTGTCTAAAATCTATACAAAGAAAGACTAGATAAACACAACCGTTTCTTGCTCCTCCTGATACCAAACTGTGTTCTGCTGGGACATGGTTCGCAGGGCTTCCTGCACCTCCACCACTTCGAACTGTTGCGAACCCGGCAGGCGCGCATTGAGGCGCTCCACAATGTCATGCACCATAACGGTTCCGTCACCTCCGCTCACTTCCATTGCTTGGCGTATTGCGTGTAAACCTTGTCGGAATTGATCAAATCTGGAAGAGAATTTCAGCTTTTGACTCTAGACGAACTGTGAGACAAGAGTGCACATTACCTTTCGGGGTCTAATGGCGATGCAGAGCTACCACTCGCTCCAATGCTCTCGTCATCTAACACCATTGCAGAAGGTTGACCGTCATCCATCTCCAGCAGGTCAGAAATTGCTCCTTGAGAGGAAGCAGGTATGCTCTTTCGAGAAGATCGTGCTGACCGGCCAGATTGGCGCTCGGGGTCTATCCAGCAACGTGCGCAATTAGAGAACGTCAGTTGGGCGAATAGAATATGAACAAACCATGAGCGTTTTCAGATGTTTCGCCGCCGGTCAAATTGAGATCCGACATTTTTGCTGTAGTTGCTTCCACTGCCTTCTTGGCACTTCGCGCCGTCTTTCGTGGAGTTACATTGCCACTGTTCAGCACCAGAGGGTATGAGGACGAAGGTGCTGCATCAAGAATAGTGGTCGGGATTGACTTGGATGTACCAACCTTTTGTACTCTCCATCACTAGCATCGCTGTCGCTGTCGTCGCTGGGATCTGATGCTTCCTTCTCCCGTACAGTTCGTGGCTTTTTGCTTCGCTTTTTCGATTTCACTTCTTTGTACAATGCAAACTTAAGAACTTCCACAGCCAATTCGGCATCCACCTATGAATTGAGCGTTAGCGCGACAGTATAACACGCCGGCCTTCCCATTGCCGTTACCTTCTCCACTCGTTGGCTCAACCTTGCCTTCGCGTGTGCAGTGGAGAGACGGATCAGTGTTTCCAATGTACGAGCTGTGATTGGCATAGTCTGCCGTGTTCATGCGTTAGCCTGCAATCGCAGCCCTCCAACGAGTGTAATAATTGTCTGCAGGTCAACGTACTCGATATTTATCACCCTCACCCTCCTTTGCCGCTCTCAGCTCCGCATACTCATGGGCAATAAAGTCTGCTGCTTCTTGTGATAGCACAGGCTTGATACGCGATTTGGAATAATGAAGATATTTCTTCAAAAAGCCAATAGACAACAGCTCGACTTTATCAGCACCCTTCCGCCGTCTGCTTCGTCCATTTTCAGAAGCGCCCTGTATGCCAACGTGCAGCAGCTTGTTGTATTTTTGGAAGACTTCTGTTTTCTGACGCTCATCCTCCTCCCCAGGAAGGCCAAATGCGCCAGCAGATCCTTGCAACGTTATATCATTTACCGGAACACCTGGAAAAACCCTAGATGAATAATATGTCCATTGCACGATGAGTCTATCCTGTAAGTCACCTTCTTCAAGGCCTGGTGGAATATAACGATGGACACGTCCAACATGTTCGGATATCATACGATTTAGCTCATCGTCGGTGGTATCCAATACGACGAAAACCAAATCGAAACGAGACAGCAAAGAATCTGGCAGCAGGATGTTCTCATGGGGTGGCTTTTCGACCAGATACTATGATAACATAACGGTTAGTTTCAGTTATATGAGCAAACAACTTGTGGGCTGCTTCATACATGTCCATAGGCAGGATTAGCGGCGGCAAGAACGCTACACCGTGCATTTAGGGACGTATGTATGCCAGCTTTCGCAATGGTTACTGTTTGCTGTTCCATGACTTCGTGAATAGCAACGCGATCGATGTCATTCATTTTATCAAATTCGTCAATACAGACAATTCCCCGATCGGCTAAAACCATTGCACCAGCCTCGAGTGTTCGTTCCCCTATAGACTGGTAAGGGGCCATATTTTGCCAGCGCTGAACCTTTAGCAACTTACCAGTTTCCTTGTCTTGTGTTACTGCCGCGGTCAGACCCACACCGGACGATCCACGACCAGTAGTGGCAATCGCCAGTGGGGCGATATTCAGCACAAATCGCAGCATTTGGGATTTGGCAGTGGACGGATCACCAATGAGCAGCATATTGATATCTCTGAATGCGCGGTAGGCAGCGCGTGAGCTCCAAAGGGTCCGAATTGTCCTCACATATCTGCGCCGACCTACCCTCTAAGATGAGTTCCATTGGCTAGATTCTTCTCGATACCCCCAAGGAGCTGCAGAAGGATCGCCTTCTTGATGTAATCATGACCGTAGATAGAAGGCGCAAGTGATGTCGCCAATAAATCGAACACGTTCTCTCGGCGACTGATCTTTTTGATCTCCTGGATATCCACATCGGATATCGTCGGCTGCTGAATTTCCTTCGCAAGCTGACGAATGTTGTTTGCCAGAATGACGGTTCTGTAAATTGACGAATATCGTTAGCCTTAACATCTCGACGTTCAATAATCTATCTGCGACAATACCTGAAGATAGCCGATACACTAGCAGCGTGCTTTCCCAAAGACCGATATACTCCAACAATTTGTACTCTATCTCCCGGTTTCACACGATCGGCAAGGTCGTCATCGAGGATAACATCAAGTGGTCGCGGCAACTGTCCAGCAGGTGCTCGTTCCGGCATCTCTTGCAAACTAACGGTCTGGTAATCCCGATATGCGGAATACCCAAATTCAGTAGTGAGGGGATTTCCTGAGTCGTCCTTAATGTACATTAACAAGGGATTAACATAATCAGAGTTGAAAGACTTAAATCCCGAAATACGCACCTCTTTTGGGTACACAGAACCCGTTGGGATTGCATTTCCCAAACTGGTTCCATCCCGGTATTCGCGCATATGAAATAGTTGAGTCTTTTCACAATAGTGAACACTGCGGGCAACCTTTGGTCGCACAAGGGAACCTGTCGAAATCCACAACGTGCGCAATAAGCATGTGTTGTGTTTACGGAGGTGCCTACCAGGTACTCACACCGAGTAATGATGCCTTCAATGGAAACCATCTTTCCAAGGTGCGTGGAGCTTACGTTCCGCGGATTGACCTGATATTCTCCAAACGATCCCTCAAGGCCGATGTAAAAGCATTCATCATCCAGGTTATCTTTTGCCGGGTTTTGGAGGGATGATACAATATCCTGTAACGCTTTATCAAAGGGTGGAAGATAGTCCATAGGAGCCCGCAGAAGCCTACATGGACATTACGATTTAAGTCGTCTTGGCCACCAACTGTGGGGGACTTATTGTGCAGCAGGAGTCCTTACCCTTCAGCATAGTCCCGGTTGTACTGACGCAAACTGTTGATATTGACAATGAGGCGACGCTCTTTGGCCGCTATCATCTTCCGTATCCTTTCCTTATACTCATTCTCACCATACTAGGTTTAGAAGCATAAGATTGGAGCACTTTATGGAGTTCGACAAATGCAGGTTTTCAATTTGTGCTCTTCCGAAACTTACATCTTCGTCCAAGAATTCTCGAAAGAAACGAACTCGCTCGTTGAATAATTCATCTGCACCGAGATTGCGCAACTGTCCGTCCTGAGCGGCCATGATGGGCAAGCTTCCAACGTTAACAGATGGGCAGAAAGTCCCATAGATGGTCGGAGCCGGAATTGTCCAGCATTTCGGACCAATGCTTGTTGGCTGGGCAACTTGTTTGCGCCACAGGTAGGGGGACGCGTTCTGGGAGGTCGATCGTAATCTTTCCCCGACTCCTTGAACTGTTAACATGCCCTGCTGTGGAGAGGCAATTCACTGAGAGCGTTTGGGTAATTGTTTTCTTTTTGTATTGGCTAATGTGGTGGCAGCTGCTCAATATTCTTGCTTTCATCAGGGACGGTCGTATTGCCGGCAAATGAGCACCCCTTTTATGAAGCATTGAAATCGTCGACGACCTAGTGTTTTTGTTTTTGCAGTTGTTTTGTTTTTTTGTTTGGGAGACAAGAGCCGCTATGGTGACCAACCTAACTCGAGAATTCCGTGTGGGAGTCATTGGCGCTCCTGCGGTGTTGGAATCCGATCTCTTCACATCTGTCAAAGCTCCTGTGAACGCTTCGAACACTACTTCTAACTCTGATGGTAAGCGCATGAAAGACGTCATGACGGTGCAGAGGCTTATTGCTGTACACTCTGAATTGGACAGGCTCGTCACCATCCGTAGAAATTGATTTGCATGGGCAAAATTGTATTCTGAAGCTTGTTTTCGTGGACGAACGAGAAATCCAAAATGTTGGCGAATCGTCCTTTTGGCCTGAGGTAATGTATCCAACCAACTTAATCTCACACTACGCACCTCTTGTTGATATCCTTATAGGCGATAAGCAACTGTAATGGAATCTTGCTGTGCTATCCTGTTTCTGATCGAGCTTCCTTCTTGAACGTTATTGACCTTCTTGGTAATGTCATGGTCGGAGTTCTCATTTGCTGGAACTTCTTAATTGATAATTTATCTTCAGCTACTGGAAAGGAAGCGCCGACGGCATTAGTAGGCTGGAACCCGCCAGGAACGGAACGACAAGTAGATTTCGATCTTGGTGTAAAACTAAGTGGAGTGTTCAATGTCGACTTTGCGGAGTTGCCCAATCCCGAGACGGAAGTACCGAACAATATTGTTGGCATATTGACCAACATGGCCGATCGAATGCTGAAGTCTGCAGGTGGAGTGCATCTACTAATATTACGTATGTTACAATCTCTGATTGTCTCATCTCATCTGCAGATGGAACAGATTCGAACCCTTTTAAATTTGACGAGATCAAGTATGATTCCTTGCGGTCTCAGCTGCGGGAGCTTCGAACGACGTCTACCGTAATTCGCCGAAACTCGCAAGTGTCCTCCGCGCTGTCGAGTAGCGGAGACAGTGCGTCCAGCACCTCATTGAACGAGGGATTTGTTTACCCGATGCCCATGATTCGATCCTCAAAGGACGCTGAAGATGACCAACCTGAACCAATCCGTAAGAAAGGGCCTTTGGTCCACCCAGAGGATAAAGCCGTAGGTACAGGTATGTAGGTGATCTCTTGCGCTTTTGCCTTGACGTCTAGCTTTTGTGCTCAAATATCTGTAGACGAAGCGTCTGATCAGGGTAAAGGAGCCGTTCGGCCTCTCGCTCATAAACAACCGAGTGAGGCTGTCTCCACCGGGGAGGACACAAGTTCTATCGACCGCCGCACATCGCTCTCGCCGTCGCTTTCCTCCACGTTCAGTCAGAATACGATATCATCTGCTGCCTCCGGCATGCAAGGTGTGATAGGCTCGCTATCGGGCGAGCAGTACCGGCGTCTGTCCCGTAGACTTGATATACTAGATGTTACCCGCGATGGTTTCTCTATTGATGATGCACCATATCAGGAGTATGGGTCTAATGGGTCGAAGGATTGGAAACATCTATCTGTTCCAGTATCAGAGGCGAGGTGAGCGTGTTAGTTCGCTTACAGCTTAAGTATTTGCTGATTTTACCTCTGCTGCAGTAGCACAACATCGACCAGCTCCGTACGCCAGGGATTCACCTTAGAGGAATTAATTGAGAGATTGACAGCGCCCAATGTTCATGGCAAGTACACTATGTTACCTATGAGTTGATTTGTTTGTTTCTGACGGGTTGGGCACAGATATGGAGTTTGTGAAGGTGTTCCTGATGCTCTATCGGAAGTTTTTACGACCAAGTGAATTGCTGGACCGTCTCATGGACAGATTTGACACATTTGACGATAAGGATGAGAATGCACATCAAAGAGGCAGCCCCATCAATGCTGTGCAACTACGGTAAGTGCCTCCGTGTATATTTCAATTAGTATTTGGCTAACGTACTATAATGTCCGGTCTACAGTGTTTGCAATGTCTTGATACATTGGTGTACGGAGTACTGGTGCGACTTTCACTCGGATAGAATGAGGTTCACAATGCACGTCTTTCTGGAGATAATTTCCAGCCGACCGGCATACGCAGCCATCTGTCAAAGACTGAGTGGGCTGGTTTTCAGAGAGCCGCCTTCCGATAAAGAAAAGGATGCGTTTGATTGGGGCGTTCCGGACATTGATGATGAAGAAGAATATGTTCAAACTGAACAGAACACCTCTTCGGCGGGCGACCCTGAAGACGGACCAGATACCCAGCCACGGACATTCTCCTTTGGTTCCATGGGTGCCGCACCAGCTAGCGTGGAGGTGTCACTTCGACGGTCAATCTTTAGCACTGGCAGCGGCAGCAGCGAAGTAGCAGACAGAGCATTACGTCGTCGTTCTGGTGCATCTACTTCCACATCTAGATCCTCTGTCTCCGAGGGAACGGAGGTTGGTGTGGGGCGGAAACCTCCAAGCATGGGATCGTCGGATGGCATATTGCAGTCTGTACCGCACCATCCTTTTCCAAGCCTTTCCTTCTTGGAGATTGACAACGAGGCCATAGCGCAGCAATTGAATGTGTTGGAGAGCGAAATTTTCAGGAGGATCAAGGTAGCTTTGCCGTCATGCTGTAAGCAACGAACAGGATATTCATTTGCTGGCCATAGGCTCGAGATCTTCTCCAGCACATTTGGAGTCGGCAATCCAAAGGGCGACATGCTCCGTCAGTAGCAGCCAGTATCGGTCATTTCAACTTCATATCCGCGTGGTATGGACCAACGTGCGCATGGAGACATTCTTAGGCCATTGCTGACTCCGCTGTAGGGTTACTACTCGCATTCTGGTTCAAAAGAAATTAAAGACACGAGCAAAAGTCTTGGGCAAATTTATGAAGATTGCACAGGTTAGTCTTTTTCATTCCGGCACCGGGGCGGAGAACTGCGACTAAAATTCAGAGGTCACAGATTTTGCGCAACAGCAATAATTATAATACCCTCATGGCTGTTCTGGCTGGAGTCAATAGTGCTGCCGTACTGCGACTTCGACAGACACGAAAATTGCTGCAGAACCGACAATCTTACCGCAATTACCAAGCGCTGGAGAAGCTCATGAGCTCTGAACGATCATTTGCAATTTATCGGCAAACACTTCGCCGGAGTGATCTCCCCTGTATCCCTTACCTGTGGGTATAATCAACCTCTATCTATCATCGCATCCTGCGCTAATTGGGATATTTTTACAGTGGCGTATTTCTCAGAGATCTGCTATATATTGATGAGAATAAGGACAAGCGACC